AAATGGCACCCTCTATATCCTCATTTCGATGATTGTAAAACAATTATTTAATTAGCCTACACTTAGAATGTGATGTAAACTATATAAGATCTGTGTCAACTTGATATTGGTGCTCTTGGCTTTGCTTGCTGGGAGCCCAGTGATAATTGTATCTCTTTGCTAGCTTAATATACCAGTTGTATTGGCTCTCTCCAGTCATTTGGCTTTCTTTAGAGGTGAGTTTTTGCACCAGAGCAAGAATCACTTATTTGGATTTCTCCCATTTCTATAGCCAGTGAAACTGCCAAAATTATGATATTATATATCTGTGTTTAAAACAGGTCTCTGCCAGCATCACTTTTTGTCTCCTTTAAACTTTATTATGAATGGTTTACAGCAGACTTGACAGTTTAGGTGAAGGTGTTTTGGAAATAAAAAATAGTAAAACAACTGAAACTTATAGTGAAATAGCTTCACTAGATTCAGTGGAGTGTATAAATTGCAGATCTATTTATATTTTCAATGATGTGGTTGCTTTTCAAATATGCATGTGAACTATTTTGATTGTAATTTAATTAAATGTGAATGGTTACAAAGCAAAGCACCTGTAAGCATTCTGAAATTAACGGGATGATATATATAATAATAAACTGGATGACATTAGATCTAATATTAAAAATAGAGGGCAAGGGTAACATAGAAGACATGGATGACAAACCTCTAAAAGTGGCTATGGAATTTCATTTAATATTAATGGAAGTGGCACTAGAACAGAATTGTGCTTCGGTGGCCTTGCTTAGGAGATATCGTGCTATAAGGGGTGTGTGTGTGTGTGTTTTCTTATATGAAAGGTGGCTTTGAAATTGGCTTAAATTTGATTAAATAAATCAAAGTTGTTAAATTTGTCTGTTACAATATTAACATCAGAATTTGTCATATCTCTTAAATCTATTACATGTTATGAATGATTGAATTCTATCAAATAGAACATTTTTAAATGTCATCTACTTTTTTCCTGTATTGATTGCAGGATGAAGCAATACTTGCTGAACTAGAAGGCCACTTAGCACCAGTAACTGCTGCTGAGTTCTGTACTTGGGAGAAAAATATACTTATATCCGTTTCTGAAGATAGAAGTTTTAAGGTAAGGCCACTGTTTCTGTCTTTTTAAAAATGTGTTTGATTCCCAACTTACAAAAGTAAAAACAAATACAGTATTATAAAATGGAGATTTTTAAATCAGAGGACTACTAGAATAAACATTATGAAAGGCCATTCCTATTAGCAAGAGTAGTATAAACCTGAACTATGCAATATTAAGAATGGTCATTAACCTTTGGTCAAAGTTATACTTTGTATTGCTTGTTTTGTGTACTTTCCCTACTGTGGAATCAGTTGAACACTCATTGGATTTTAGGAGTGTAGAACAAATCTAGTCTCCTCTGAAAAATTCTTTCTTTGTTTTATATCTGGTTCAAGGATAATGATATTTTACTCTCAAGAGAATGGCCATTTAAACCTCGTGGGTGAGTTGTAGATGTCAGTAATTTTTTGTAAACATCAGGAGCTATCTTTAATTCCATACATTGGGAGCACAAGAAGCACAGTGAATAATTTATTTGAAATTTTGCCTTGTATTATACAGCGTATTATTTACAGGGCATCACACTGGTCACTTTCATTATGATATAAACTGACTATTTAATGTCACTGTGTTTTTCAAAAGGTGTGGGATTACTGTACTGGATTGTTAATATATCAATCAGCAGTAATAACAGGTATGTTTTAGTTGTATATGATTCAATCACCAACCTATGTACTTTTTATAAAACAGTGTGTTACTATTATTGCTTGGCAGGATAGGCAATTGCTGGAGCTATCTTTTCAACAGTGCTCCTATCTCCATAAGAAATTCATTGCATGGAAATGAAGAATTTTGGGGAGTCAGGTGGCATATATATTTAATACATAAAATGAAATAAATAAAGTATGCAAGCAAGAGAGGCCTCTAAAGTTAATGTTGAAAGGCAGCTTCTGGAGAGAGAGTTTGAAATGGAGAAGCTGCATGGTGGGGGAAGTAGGAAAGAAGGAATGTTCTTAACCCATGCTCTTGTCTGCAGCACCCTTTCTGCTATACAGGTAGGTCGCAATTAGTGCAAGTTTGAATAGTGTAATATTTGATTTAGTGCAAATTATAAACAGATACCAGGTCGTGTTTAATGCAAGCCAAAAGTCAATTGGCGCGAGGCTAGTGCGCGGCCAGTTGAGGCTAGGGTATGCACAGTTGCTGTTGGGGCTTTAGACACTAATCATTGTTTATGCAAAATGGAGGAAAGGAAGATTCTGTTCAAGGAAAGCTCAAAAAAGAAGAGGCTCATTTTGAAGAACTACAGCAGAATACAGGAGACAGCAGGTACACTTTGGATATGGGTTTATCCTCTTTTACTGTTATACAGTATTTCATTAATAAACATATAACAATTCTGTTTAAAAATTTAATTTCCTATTTCCATTGAGCTGGAACCAATTACCTTATTTTCCATAGAAACATTACTTTGAATACTGTAAATTCAAATAATATGACCATTTTGTGGGATTCATTAACTGCACTAATTGAGATTGAAAATGTATGGACAAATAAAGGGTTAAGAAGATCTCCCACTAAAGATTAAGCAATTCCCTCCCTCCCTATCAAGCACAAGGTCTGCATAACCTTCTACACTCT